AGCACTCGTTTTGTTCAACAATTCTATTTACCAACTGCACATAGTACGTAGTTAGGAGGAGAGTTATTTATTTCTTATATACGCAAAATAAGATAAGAAAATGAAAATCATAAACAGTTTTATTTCAAACCCACTTAAGTCTTGATTCCTAAAAAGAAAAATTGCAGGGACCCAGGATGCAATAAGTAAAATAGTCTAATTTCTCCAGCCGCAATAACAACTCCTTAGATTTTCTGGCATTTTAAAACCCCACACACCTTTTTTTTTGTCTGCGAATCCAACTTGCCAGGTGCTGCTGAACTCTTTTTCAACAGATCATATCTTTGTGTATATCTTTGACAAGACACAGCTTTTCATAACCTAACCCAGTAAAAAAAGAAGGGTAGAAAACTTGAAAATGGTGACTCAAGGTGGTTTTATCTGTAGTTTCAAATAATTACTGGGCCTTCTTGTAATCTAAAGTAACCTCAGGGGTTAGTTGTGTTATTATTCATAACTATTTGTACCATTTTGTATTTTTATCTACAGAGACAGAGAGAGAGAGAGAGAGAGAGAGAGAAATATCTTTGATGCTATGAATTTTGAGGATGGTCCTTGGCTAGATTATGAATCATCTTCGATATACAGATCCACGTAGAATCGGGCAATTTTTGACCCGAGTGTGCCAGCAGTGCAGATATAACGTCGAGTGCAAAGCTTTGAAACTCGGGTTTGAAAGCGAGTCGTATAGCCATTGCAGTCCAGACATCTGGAGCTAACCTCACCGCGTGTCTGAACGATTGGAACCCCTTAACTACTCTCGACAGCATTTCTTGATCCTGGATATAATGCAAAAAGCGAAGAATACCTTAAAAATAAGACGACCCACGAACAATAAAGAGCTTAAAAAATTAAATTAAATTAAAATATTTTTTTTTTCGTAAATGCAAAACCTCAGTTTCCAGTTCGGGCGTTCGTAAATCCTCATCAGAAAACCAAGGGACTACTACTTTGTGTTCGAGGAAAGTATCGGCTGCCTTGAGAAGGTCCCTGATAAGGAAAACCCGTACACGTGAGCCTTTTTTGGAAAGAATGAATTGGAAAATGTCCTCAGTAGCAGCCACAACAGCACGCATGTTGAAGGATTTCCACCCGAGTGGATTCGGAGGAGTCCCTTGAGGTTTTGATGAGGTTTCGTCGGTTTCTGAAGCTTGTTCGGATATTGCTATTATCTGAAACATCAATGAGAATATGGAGAAAAAATTAGTAGTTTTTTATTTATTTATGTTCGACTCCATGTAAACGAGCCGAGTTAGAGCCGATCTCGAGCTTTATCGAGCCGAACTACAGAAAATTATATAGAACTTCTTTTTTCGAGCACAGATGAAACATGCAAAGGACTGACCTCACTCTTTCAAGTAATGTATTAAAATAAAATTAGATTAGTCTCACTTTTTTCTAACTTAGAATGATATCTTGTGTCTGTCTACATTTGTGTGTGTGAGTGTGTGTGTGGAAAGAAAAGAAAGGTATAGGCTTTGGAACAGAGAATGCCCACCAGTCTTTCGAGCCGATTCCATCTTATAGAACCATCATTTCGGATCAGAAGTTGGCCCAATATTTTCCTCATGTCAGGACTGGGGTCCACCAGTAGTCGACCAATCACGAAAGGATAAGCACTCTCCACAACCTTGAAATCAGGATCCAAAACTTTTGCGGTTCCTTCAAGCGATCCCAGGGCTCTTATCACCAATGCATAGTCAGGCGGAAGGGAGAAATTGAATTCGTACATCACATCGTACAACTGATTCATTATTCCCTGAACATGAAGGAAGACAATTTTTCAACAAATTGAAGTAATCATTCACTTAGGGCAATACATGCTATAATTTCTTAAAAATGTGATACTATCTCATAGTTATGACTTATGAACACGATAGCTAAGGGGGTGTATTCATTTGGGAGTTCTAAAGATTTTTTAAGACTTCAGAAATCCTGGTGTATTTAATTTCTTTAATACTTTTAAAAGTCCTGAAGTATTCATTTGAGATTTTAAAGCCTTGCCAAATCACGAGGTATTTGACTTATTTGAGACTAGGAATTGTTAAGACTTTTTAAGATTTGCTGGGATTTCTAAAGAAAAATACATATACGAAATCTCACTTCAAATCCCACCTCCCACCTCGAAACTTAAGGATTCCTCCAAAATCTGAAAATCTTAATAAGTTAAATCTCCAAAACCAAAACTTTCAAAATGTCATTCGAAATCCCAAAAGAATACACCACTTAAATAACCGAACCTGGAAATCTTGGGATTGTCTGGTTCTATCACCAAAGGATGCCTTCAAAGCATCTGACACAGACCGTACATCAACCCCTTCAGGGATAAATCCAAGAGAGAGAAAGTCATTGGCCAAACCAAAGGAATCTCGATTCACAAAGTGCACCAGCTGACAAAAACAATATCTAGAATGGGTCAAAAACAATGATAATCATTTTCATGGAATGCGAAAGCTGAAATGGCTCTCAAAGTCTCACCACTCTAATGAGTCCCACGCGATAGTGCCGTGGGATATCGCCCATCATGCCAAAGTCAAAATAAGCAAGTGAACCACCATCAGTAGCAACGAGATTTCCAGGATGAGGATCGGCGTGGAAAAATCCCACTTCCAGCAATTGCCTCAGAGAGCAATACAAACCCTTATGACCAGTTATCAACAACACAAAACGTATATCAACCATAATTTTTCTGAATATTTAAGTCAAGGCATGCTAATATAGCATGAATTAGAAGCTCATAAACATCTACACAGTAGAGGAGGTCCAACTACTTATCGAGTGTCCTCTGTATATTACCTCATCAATGAGTTGTTTTCGGTTTAGACAGGCCTCTCTCAGACGTTTTTCGTCTGTGAGCTTAATTCCATCAAGCCATTCCATTGTAAGGACCGATTTGCGGGTTAAATTCCAATATATCTTGGGAACTTTGACCCCTATGGCTTGCTGATGTGCTCCACTTGTATCCCCATTACCTGACAAGAAGCTGTCCAGGTCAACTTAAACATTTGTGGCAATGGTGGTATTAACTATTATAGGAATGGACACTTTATGACAAAGAGTATGACAGCCAGTTTTATTTTGTGAAACTCGTCTGAGTGGAGAAGGAAGTAAAAAATAAACCAAATAAGAAAAGGACAAAGAAACAAATATATAAGGAAATATATGCAAACACACACACACACGCTCGCGCGCGCATCTAAGATACAACAATGTACTAAATCCCATAATCAATAACTACATCATGAAGTCACTAACTATGTTGGTCCCATAAAGGAGATGGAATTGTTATAACTCGGAAGGTAAAAAAAAATATTTTGCCAAATTTGGCTGAGAGATCAGTAACAGTTTTAGCGTGCCCTTAATGAGATCGAAGATACTAGTAGAAGTTTCCATAGCTGTACATACTTCTACATAAAAAATGGTTTGAAAATTCTCACTTGTATGAAAGTACCCATAACCTAAGCAATTCATAAGAATAATTGGAATGTGAAACAAAGTCTGCGTTAATATCAAGTACACATGGAATGGACGTTAAATCAGATGCTCTTTAGCCTCAGGATAGTTATCCAAGTTGAAGTTTCCTATTAAGAACCAATAAATCAATAATTGGAAACTGGTTTAACTAATGCCACATTCAAGAACAGTAGAACTTTACAAACCAGGGGACTGGAATAGATTACAACACAAGACAGAAAATATACCATGGCCCATAATATGGATGAACTTACATGATCGGCAGCCATATAGAGCCGCAAAACGCTCAGCATTTTGACCCTCTAGTATGTAGTCAATTTCCTCAAACATATGTCTCACCTGTACTTGCAGACGTCAACAAAGTCCTTAGTTCAAGGTGTTGACAAAACACAAACCAAAACAAAGAGCCGAATGCACAAGAAACTGATTCAGTAATGCAAAAAAGGGAATAATGGTCAATATAGTAAAAACAAGTGATCAGGTGTGGGATAAACTTCATCGAAATTGCAGAATATACAAGAAGCAATCACATATACATATCCAACGAGTAGTCAATCTAGATATAGAATTTGCATTTAACAGCAACTAACAAGCTTGGCTTTGTAATACAACACTACAAAGATGCCTTAATTCACAAAGAGAGCCACTAACGGTGTATTGATCGTTCTGCACACCACATACACTGGAAATGATAAACATTATCAGGAGGCTCACCATCTCATTCACTGCAACTAACAGATCTTTACGAGCTTTGGCAAATCTTTTTAACTGGCCTCCAATCATATTGAATAGCAGGGCATCAAGGGTCAATGAATGGGACATACCAGGCCGCTGAACTTTGACGGCTACAAGCTCTCCAGTGTGCAGGTGAGCTGCAAAACTTGAAGCAACAAATGCACATTTAGTCAAATCGCAATTGCAATGAGGCCCATAAATGAGCCATACTGCCCCCTCCCCCCACCATCCCATAAATAGAATAAAACTTCCAAAAGTAAATTTGAGAGATATCAGTTTCCCAACCTTTATAAACCTGCCCCAAGGATGCTGCAGCAATAGGCTCTCGACTAATATCAGCAAATATCTTCGATATTGGCATTCCCAACTCGGATTCAATGGATTTGAGTGCCACATGCGTTGGAAATGGAGGAATTTGATCCTGTATTCTTAACTCTTTAGTTGTGATACTCATAACATTTTCATGATTAATAAAAATATACTAAATAATTTACAACCAATTAAAAAAAAGAAGTTATAAATGGAAACACCATGCATACCTGTAATTTAGCAAGTTCATTGCAATATACTTTTGGCAGTATATCCGGCCTTGTGCTTAAAGCTTGTCCAAGCTGTAAAACAGAAACATGCAGTTCTAAACTACAATACCATGAATCACATGGGTAACAGATGTGATGGTACAATTATAAATGAAAAAAAAAAAAGAAGAAGAAGAAGAAGAGTACAACTGCCTAGAAACCACCAACTTATATAGGAAAATACAACTTGCCTTGATATAAAAAGGACCCAAGCGAATAAGTGTTTCACGAAACTGCAACATGTATATCCAGAAGTGAGGATATGTTAGACCAATAGTACAACAGAACACTGTCATCATCATAAAATGATATTCATTATTGAAGCAAGTCAACAAGTTTTTATAATTAGCACATTAAGAAATAAAGTAAGAGATACCATATCACTAGTCCCAAAATGTGATCCACCAAAAGCATCATGCAGGACTTCTGAAAATTAAATGTCACAACTAACCTTAACTGAACGTTTCTCGATATCATGAACGAAGAACTGCCAAACCGTTAGCTTCAATACATGGAAGGAAATAATAGCAGCTCTATACAAAGCCAAGAATGGACCAAACCGGTAGAAAGCAGACATACTTCTCGAACCGAGAGCATGTCCGAATTGGGTCTCGAGCGATTCTTTCCTCAACTTTGCATACTCAGCAGATGGTTTTTCACCATGCACACTGGAGTAGCCAGTAGAGAAGCTGCATAGATTTCGAGAAAGCAGTATAATAGATATATTTCACCACTGCAACTAATCTACTGAAGCAGCCCTAAAAAACCGCAAGCATGTAACTCAACTCCAAAGATCCATAACCATTTTCAATGGTGTCATTTACTTAGCTAAACTAGTAACATAATATGGGGCGTGTTCGTATCACTAGCTACTCAAAGGTTACACAGAATTTTAGCAAAATAGAACATCGTAACCTCAACCATTTGTTCGACTCACAAAAAATCACATATCGAATTTATATACAACAGGCGTAAATAAAATGTCATTCCAACATCAGCTACGCGCAAAAAGGGTATCTCAGAATCTCAAGCTACGAAAAAACCTCGTATCACAAAATGGTCGCAAACTAATATTGCCCATCATCATTGAAGCTTGTTAGAATGGGGTAAGAGAGTGCGGTCCCACCAGATGAAGCGCACCATAAGAGGGTGAGCCTAGGTGCACCATAGTGAGGTTCCATCACAAAGGGAGGAGTAGCCCACTAGGCTTATATACTAGACTCATTTTCCCTATAGAATCAATGTGAGACAACTCACAAGTGATATTCCAACACGCCCCCTCACTTGTGAGTCCTTCGTAAGCCCAAACCCACATCGCAGGCCGGATAGAGAATAAGCCCAAGCCCAGAGCAGGCCGGGTACAGAGAGTCAGGTCCTAGGACAGGCCCGCTCTGATACCATGTTAGAATGGGGGAAGAGAGTGCGGTCCCACCAGATGAAGCGTACCATAAGAGAGTGAGTCTATGTGCACCATAGTGAGGTTTCATCCCAAAACCAATTGGTGATGGGAGGAGTAGCCCACTAGGCTTATATACTAGACTCATTTTCCCTATAGAATCAATGTGGGACAACTCACAAGTGATATTCCAACAAAACTCCGGAAAATTCATCCTCAGCCAAAAAAAAAAAAAAAAACCAATAATGTGAACTCTCAAATAGCACAGCCTTACAATTTAGGTAGTAAATAGCGAGCCAAGACACCGTTATCGTCCATCCTCGTCGCAAGATCCCTGGGACCTACGAGCTGGAACACTCTCCATCTTACTCTCTCAGCATAACTTCCATTCCATAAAACTGCAGAACATCACAAAAAAAAAAAAAA